TTTTTATTGTTTTTTTTTAATTGTTTAAGCTAAATAAACATTGAATTGAATATCAAAGTTGCAATTTGATTTATAACCAATTAAACTACAGATATAAGACTGGAAAAGCATTGCTGGCACTATACAAAAACAAATTGGCTTAAAATCTCACAACCTTCACCTTTCTGATATTCTGAGACTCAAACAAACTCGGCGCCTTCTGTGCTTTGATAAGCTATGGCGGCGCCATTTTGTGCAGCGAATCGAAACATGCTGGTAATATGAACAACAAGGGATGATACTGATCACTCCAGTAAAGTTTGGTGGAAAACCAACCAGTAGTTCGACCTGTGAAGGCCGGACAAGATTTTTCTATTTTTAGCTTTGGCGGCCATTTTGTGCAGCGAAGTGGAACATGCCGGTGATGTGCACAACTATGGATGGTACTGATCACTCCTGTAAAGTTTGGTGGAAATCTCACCAGAAAGTTGACCTGTGAATACCGGACAAGCTTAATACGGACGAACGGACGGATGACCAGGCGGATGGACGACGTGACGGACTTGAAGGCCAAAACAATATATCTCCCAAAAATTTTGGGAGACATAATTAAATAATATAAAGTTGAAGATGACTTTTTTTAACATAGTCCATTACACACCTAATACCTAAGAATTTTTAAATAACACCTATGAATACATGTTTTTGTATTCATGAACTTGATTTACATTTATGAATTATATAAATTAGATAATTTAGTTCCGTTTGTTATGATATATTGATAAAATGATGAACAAGGGTGAACGACGTTTTCTGAATGCAGCTATATAATCATAATGTTATATTTTAGTAAACAAAATATAACAAGATCTCAGTTACTGTTATTAAAGTTACAATAAATTTAAATAAAATTCAATGCTTATCTAATATGCAAAATATAGAAAAATTACGCAAATTATAAAATTATCCAATGCTTGAGAGAAACTGTTTAAGATAAATAAAAACATTTCTTTTAATGAAAAATGGTAAATAAAAGACAGAAAGATATATTTTAACATACCTGATAAATGAAAATTCAAGATTTAAATTTGAAAACAAAAGTACTTTATTCTGTGACAGTCATGATAGAATATTATTTCTGTTCAGTTTATTACGGAATTCCGTTAGGGCCATCGTGGTTTCGCGGCGAAATCGCGAAAACACGATGCATTGACGCGAAAACACGATGCGAAAAATATCGCGTTTTCGCGCTATTAATATCGTGGTTTCACATTTTCGCCCTCGATATGCCATCGTGTTTTCGCCTTCGCGTTCAGTTGGGCGAAAACACGATACTTATAGCGCGAAAACGCGATATTTTTCGCATCGTGTTTTCGCGATCTTGTATCGCGCTTTCGCGATCTTGTATCGTGTTTTCGCCCTACTGACCACCAAGGCGAAAACCCGATATTTTAATTTCGCATCCAAGAAGGAATTGGTGTTGCCACTTAAGATCAATTAATTTCAGAACTTATAAATTCAAAGCTTCATTAAATAAATATGTAAAAATATTTCTTGCCGTCGGCTTAAAAACCAAGCATTCTACAGTTTCATTAACCTTTTTAACAGTGTCGTTGTAAATCTCATCAAATATTGTTCATAAATTAAGATTTTAAATGGAAAACCCAACGGAAACACTAAAGTTTGTATACGAATTTTAACATGCAAATCAGCTCGTGTATGCGCTACGTCACGATGTTAAAGTTGCTATCCAAAATATAAGATTTTTTTGTGCAAACACACCCAAATCGTTTAAGCTTCACGGTGCACTTGGCCAGGGTTTAGAAAAAATAATCATCTTATAAAAAATATTAAATTTGTATGAAAACATCCGTTACAATGCGAAATATACCTTTAAATTAGGACTGCTACTTATAGTCATGTTTGTTGATTTAACATTGATGTAAGGATGATCATAAGGCGGAGTTTCTCATGCAAATAGATATTGTACTTCCGAATTCGTCACGATGATGCTTCACATTTTTATGCTCATGAAACTCATTTTGGTTGTCTGGATGAAACCCAATTTATTAATGAATTGTACCTTTTTCTGTTTTATGAAATTTATTAAATTTACTTTTAAGGGTTGAATACCACATAAACCGGTGCCAGGGGGGCATGGGCAGTATTGCAATGTTTATTACTGTCCATGAACAGACTCAATCAAACCTAGTCTGCAACTTTCGCTGTTTATTTTGACTTCGGGTTTTCGAAGGATCTCCCTTTTTAGAATTTAAGGCAACGCTAGGTGTCAGAGGCGGGGCAAATTTAAAGGATTTTGATATCAATTTTTGATATCAATGTGTATATTTTCATTTTTTTATTAGGAGTAATGTAAATTTACTACGAAAAATACAATCAACTAAAACTTGAATAAATCATGCATCTGCACTTCAGAGCATCAATTCTCACATATGTTATGACATCATTTGTTTCTATGAGCACATGCTAATGTTCTTTTGTTGGAAATCTGATGGTTTTTCCGATGCTACGATTATGTTGTATTTATTTTTGGACAAATTTAAATAAAAAGGGTCGGACAAGGCTATTTAAACATGCACTTGAATAATAATGAAGGCTTTTTTTCCATGAAAAGTGAGAAATCATATTTTGTATGCATTACTGTAGTAGTAACGGTAGGTGTTCAAAATTACGAGGGGTGATAAATATTTCGCTTCTTTGTGTTGTAACATTTTATTTCTGAAGGTACACGATCCAGAATCCACAGATAAATGTATCATTTCGTATAAACAGTAACTGTGTCATGTAATGTGCACCTGATTAGAAAGCGTCTATGGTTGGCCATCGACACCAAAAATAATTAATTTAGCCGCGGTAAAAATATTTTAGCTCCGGCATAAATATGAATTTAGCTATTTGAGTTCCGGCATGAATATTATTTAAGCCGCAGTTAAAATGTTTTTACCTCGGCATTAAACTACCGCGAATAAAAGATTTAATAATTAGTGACAGCGGCCGACCCGACAGTATGGTAATACATTTCTACCGCGATTTAAATATTTAGTACTGAGTAACAACGACCGACCTATTAAATGATGGCCATTCCAAATTAAAATAAATTTAAAGTTTGAAAGCAATATATAAATGCAGTATCTGGTCGAAGCTATCAAAAATAAGTATTTAACATATGTAAATTTAAATGTCAACTCGGCCAATAGATACCACCGTTATAAATACTGTCCAGAGTTTTCATTCTGTGCACACTTGCAGTTGCAGACTCTCAGACAACATGGCGGAAACTGTCTTGCAGGACCCAATCGCCAGACATCAGGGGGGCCGGGATCGGTTCTCGAGTCTGGCGATTTCGGTCAGATTACTGCTGACACAATCAGCGATGGTAGCAGGCAAAGAATACACAAGAGCGATCAGTAATCACATGTGTCGCCTCAAGATGGCCAATTTCATGTTGGGACAAATTTTGTGACAGACGGACAGACAGACGGACAGTGCACAACTAGACTTGGTACTGATCAATCCTGTAAAGTTTGGATAAAATTGCACCAGTAGTTTATGAGGAGTAGTTCGGACAAGCTTTTGCGTATCTGGCAACACAAAGAAAAAAACACCTTTTTATCAGAGGGCCATAACTCGGCCAAAAATCATTCAACCGGAAAACCCGTGCAATATGCGCAAGGACTTGAGCTACAGATCAATCCTGTAAAGTTTCATTGAAATTGCATTAGTGGTATAAGAGAAGTAGTCCGGACAAACTTTAAAATTAAAAATTATTAAAGGGCCATAACTCTGACAAAAATCATTGAACCGGAAAATGCTGACAATATGCACAACTAAACCTGGTACTGATCATTCCTGTAAAGTTTGGATGAAATTGCACCAGTAGTTTATGAGCAGTAGTCCGGACAAGCTTTTGTGTATCTGGCAACACACAGAAAAAAACACCTTTTTGTCAAAGGGCCATAACTCGGCCAAAAATCATTCAACCGGAAAACCCATGCAATATGCACAAGGACTTGAGCTACAGATCAATCCTGTAAAGTTTCATTGAAATTGCATTAGTGGTATAAGAGAAGTAGTCCGGACAAACTTTAAAATTAAATTTAATTAAAGGGCCATAACTCTGACAAAAATCATTGAACCGGAAAATGCTGACAATATGCACAACTAGACTTGGTACTGATCATTCCTGTAAAGTTTGGATGAAATTGCACCAGTAGTTTATGAGCAGTAGTCCGGACAAGTTTTGTGACGGACGGACGGACAGACAGACAGACGGACAGACAGACGACGGAGAAGTGATCCCTATATGTCGCCACTTCTCCGTAGAGGCGACACAAAAAGACGTCCAGCATATGCAACACGACTCAGAACCCCTAGGAATTGCTTAAAACTTAGATTTGACAATTCCTTTTTTTCGCTGCCTCTGGACCCTCCCCTGGAAAATATTCTTTGCCTGGACCCCCACCCGGCGGAAAAAATTGCTGGAACCACCCTTGCAAGTGAAGCAGGTAGACAATGTGAGATTCCACAGAGCAACAAGACAAAAGTGCGATATAAAAAAAATCCTGTTTTCCTGATTTAGCCTTCGCGGTTGAGAGGACCAAAACGTGAAAACACGATGAGATCGCGAGAACACGATGCCAAAAATATCGCGTTTTTGCACCATTGATATCGAATTTTCTCGTTTTCGCCGTACTGACTGTGAAGGAGAAAAACGCAAAAACACGATGGTACAACGAGGGCAAAGATTAAGCGAAAACACGATATTAATAGTGCGATAACGCGATATTTTTCGCATCGTGTTTTCGCGATCTCTATTCGTGTTTTCGCTACATTCCATTGAGTTTTATTGCGTCAAGGTATCGTGTTTTGGCGATTTCGCCCTTAGGACGACAGCGCGAAACCGCACTGGCCCAAACGGAACACCGTAGTTTATAATACAAGTAGTTAAACAAGTTTATTTATTATGGAAGATATTGACACATTTGAAAAGAAAAATGAAATTAAAGAATTACATATTTAATGGATATGTGATGGCATATCTGACTATTAATCCTATGGGCCTAAACTCCCTTGATCATACAAGAAGTATTGTAAGCTTGAACCATAAACATCTTTTTTATATTTTCCTTTAAGCAGTATGTATTAAATTTGCATATAAATTTGTAGATTCAATTTTAAAGATTATTTAAGCTCCACACATTAATGTAAAATATAATGTAGACATAAAAATATACACAAGTACACAATGAAATGAATAAGAAAAGAAACTTGGGTCAGAAAGACAAGTTAATTTTCATTAATAGATAAATTATACATAAAAGTATTTGGCATTAATTGTTTAAGATTTACATAAAACAAAACATATGCAAAATAAATTTATAAAAAAACACATATCTCCAAAAAGATAAAACACACACATCCTTATTGATTGAACTTTACCATGTCGTCTTTATATATTTTTCCAAGTTTGAGTTACGTTGGGCCGTCGGAAAGAAGGTACGGCGAAATCAGAAGTATAGTTAAAAGAAAAGCATTAACATATTTATGTTTCCATTTTTTCTCCATAGTCGCCCGGCAAAAGTTGTGTACATTTCGGCATAAATCGGTGCATTTTTGATTCCGTACAACCAAAAGCTCTTAAAATATCACATATTGGTGTGACAAACACGCGACGACTATTCATTCCTCCTGCAACAATACCAATAGCAATTGAGTCCTGTCCTCCTTCAGTCAATACCAATGCGCCAGAATCTCCGTGTTCTGCAAAAGGTTTCTCTCCTATCTGAAGAACTAGCAGTTGATTCATAAGGTTAAAACGAAAGCCATGACAATCTCCTTGCATTTGACTTCTACGAACTACCGCACCCTGTAAGGCAAAGCTTCCTCTTGTGATTCCGGAAATCATGCCAAACTTGTACACTTCAGTCCTACGTTTTATTTCAGATGTTTCACAAACTGCACCAGAATTGAAACATAATGGATTCCTTGCATCAAACCCTGGCGAAAATGCAATAAATAAATAAATTTAATAATTTAATGTACAATATTAGATTACAAAATTAAATTAAAAAAAAAAAACCTTTTTGTGTTTTCTTAATTGCATTGAGCCATTTTGACGGGCATTTAAGGATAGACATTTGTGCATTTCTTTCAATCACATTATGTAAACCAGAAATGTCAGCTATTGCTTCACGTCCACAGGCACGGAGCTATTTGTGTTTACAATTTTTTTTGTCCATAGATCAGATTAAGATCAATTAATATGTCGGTGTCAACAGGTACTTCTCACTAAATTAATAAGCGAGTTATTTCTCTTAAATTATAATTTCCCTATTTTTATTAAATAAAGCATTCTTTAAAAAAAAATTTGTACAGTATTTAAAATGCTTAACTAATCTACAGTACATGTTAAATGATCATATAAAAAATAATGTAATTTGTATTTTCATTTTATTCTATTATTCCCCTTTAATGTGTTAATTCCCTGTTCTTTTAAAAAATGTAATTTTAAGGTATTGTTCGTATACTATTCTAAATGTTTACATGAATTTACTGTACATGTTTAATATTCCTGTAAATGATTGTGCACTTTGTAGTCATTTCATTCTGTAGTTGTTTTGTTCTATTTTTGTAAATCATCAATCGAAGTTCAAAATTTGGATCTAATAATAAAATAAAAAGTTAAATTCATTTTAAATTCTCAATCCCAGCCCTGTACCTTCCATTTCCTAAGTCCCTACAGTCCAATAGGTACTGCTCACATCATAGTGCATTACAACAAAACTTTAGCGCATAACCAAAAATCATCACGCATATCAAAAACTGCATATTGCAAAAAATATCCACACATATCATAATGACTCATCTTCATAAACCTCTTACCTGCTTCAAAATCTGTAAATGTCTCAGGAAAGCTTCCACTTTTTGGTTGTCTTTTTTGTATGCTTATGAGTGCAACTTCCATTCCAGATGTACAAGAACCTCCGATGTCGTAAACAGCTTGAACAACTTCACCAAACGCCGACGAACTTTTACCAATAGGCTGATAAACTGTCTTTCTCAAACTAAAGTGTTTCTTTTCTTTTCTTTCTTTAACTTTATTCAGCTCAGCAGCACTATAAACAACGTGTGCACATGTTATTCCACATAATCCATGCGTTGAATGGTCAATAAATCCCCCAAGAGTACCCCCTAAAACACCATCTGTGTTTAACACGTTAGCATGTATTGCTAGACCAATCTTTAGATGTTCATGGTACTCGTTTGGTCCATTCATAAATGGTTCGAATTTTCCCTCCAAAACATCTATTGGGAAACCATTGATATTGTTTTGAAAAGGTGTTTCGTTTAGAGGTATACACCCTTTAACTGTAACATATAAAGCTATACAAGGTACTTGCTTGATGTTATGTTGGCCTGTCTCGTATCCAACGGACTTAACCAAGCTTGGCAAAATCACATTAATGTTACTATGTCTTTCGAGAAGGTCGTTAGCATTATCGTTTATGCAATTTCTAAGCTTTTCAAAGGTCTCATTATCGAACTGACCCATTGTTTCATCTCTTGTTTCATATTCAGCAACAAGGTCACCTTCAGTACTGACATCGTTTTCACATCTTATACAGTATTCATAATCTTTGAAATCGGAAAATGTAGTTTTCTTTTTTACAATAACTAGAAAAATAATAGATTCATAGTCTTCTTTGTAAGACGGAAATACGTCGATAACATTCTTAAATTGCTTCTTTATATGTTGGCTGATCGTAAAGCAGACATGTGAAATGATTTTTGAATCCCTTCCAAATACGTGACATGCCTTGTTCAGTTCACTTTTAGACGGATAAATCTCCCTTTCCAGTAATATGTTTGCATCGGATTCACTTTCTCTTTCAATACATCTATCCCAAGATTCTGAAAGGTATAATAGTTTTTATCCGCATAGCAAATACATTTTGCCATTGTTACCAAAGGATTTTTAAAAAGCTCAAGCTGAATTAGTAATTTTTAATTTCAACATTATCATTAAGAAAACAAAATTATCAAAAATGAGCTTACACAACTTTTTAATTTGTGTCAAGACAACATAAATATTGTAAAAAGGTAAAGAGTATTTATAATTGAATAAAAAAAAACAAGAAAACATACGTTTTCAAATCGCAACCTTTGCTGGTTGATACTATGCAGACCCATTTCTCGTACAAGAGAATTACAAGACTATTATTGTGCTTTTTGACCGGAACCAAACATCAGTCCATTTATCATTATAAATTTCCTTTAAAGGTCAAAGTGTGACTTTTAAACCTTTTGAGAAACAGACCAAATCTTGCGTGCAAAATATTGACTCAATGAGCAAAACATATGTATAAATTCAATTCATAAACGACAAAGATATTGAGAGGACACAAAAAAGAATGGATGGATAGACGCTGCAATCAGGGACATTAAATGTAAAATAAATAAGACTGCTATACTCACTCTGTTTATCATCAATGTGTTGTTTCTCCTTGTTGACCTTACTCAATAAGATATAGAGTGGTACTCTTAGAGTCTCTGCAATAATGTTGATTAAAAACCTGCTGCGATTATCTAATTTTTTGATAGATTCAACTGCTCTATCAATTTCTTCTCTGATTCTTAGCATTGTTAATTGTTCCTCAAAGTCCCATTTCATTTGATGCCACTCTTGAAATATCTTTTTTCTTGCCTTTTCTATGCCTTCGACGTCTTTGTTAGTTTTAATCATTTTAAAAATCTTATCGGTTTTTCTTTCCTTTTCTTTTAATTCTTCATAAGTTTTGGAGTCTAGAGAATGAAGATCTTCTTTTCTTTTTTTAATCAGATCTTCTTTTATCAGTACATCATTCATAATCTCAGAACGTCTTTTTCCACCATTTATTACTTTTATAGTGTCAAGAGCTTCTCTTGCAACATCATTTAGTACTTTCTTTACATCAACATATTCAATGCCCAATGTGTCCATTTGTAACTATAATAGAAAACATAATGTTAAAATAATACAAATGACTTATCCCTTTACCTTTAATAGGTAGTAGAAATACGTAATCATTATGAAAGTCACAGAGATTTTGTAACTGTACATGAATAAAGAAAATGTATTCAATTATTTTTTTGTTTTGTATGTTAACATCAATTTATTTATATGTGCAAAGTTATTTAATTTTTTCCATAAAGTCAAAAAGTTATAGAGAACTTATACGAGTAACAAAAAGTTATCAAGTACTTATAACCTTGACCTTGGGTGTAGAAAACTCGATGTCGAGCTTTGCAGATTGGGTTTTGGTGGGGATAATTTGTGCCAAGTAAGTTAAAAACCTTTGAATTGTCAATACGTTAAAAAGCGGACATGTATAAATAGATCTTTTTAAATTGGACCTTTGAGTGGGACCCCGACCTTCAGTGTTTTGGCTTGATTATTGTGCTTTGCCAATGGTGTCATAATGGTTATTATTTCTGCCAAGTTATCTTAAAATCATTGCAGCAGTTTAACAGTTATGAACAGGCACGAAATGTGGACTTTCTAACATACATTTGACCTGTAAGTGTGACGACCTAGTGGTTAAAAGTTATGAAGCGGGCAGAAAATGTAGACATTCTATCATGAAACGAAGACTTTTTAACATATTACCTTTAAGTGTGACCTTGACCTTGGGGGTAGCACCCCAATTATTACCCTCTGCACTATGTCTCGTTATGGTGATGCACTTGTGCCATGCAATTTAAATAAATTTGTAGTGGTTTAAAAGTTATGGAGCAGACACGAAATGTAGACTTTATTATGAAATAAAGACTTTTTAACATTTGACTTTTAAGTGTGACCTTGACCTTGGAGGAAGCAACCCAATTGTTGGGCTCTGCACATCAACTCATTATGGTGATCACTTGTTCCAAGTTATTTAAAAAATATTCAGTGGTTTAAAAGCTATGGAGCGGACACGTAAATGTTGTGGACGAACGGACAGACGAACGGACGTACTCACAAAATGGTACTTTTGTGACTTTTCCTTTGATTTCTATGGCCAATTTTAGTCAAACAAGGCTTAAAAAGACACACAAGTAAAAACGAAATAAATAGGATCAAAGAGTATTTACTGTTAACAATTGTTCTCCAAGTCACACAAGTACCTCTAGGTTCGAACGGAGCGACAGACGGACTGACAGACGAAGGGCATTCCTATCATTCCCTTTCCGCTACGCGGAAGAAGATTAACAAGAACTTGTTTTTTAAACACAAATGCCTCTGTCTCAGATTCTTGTCAGTAATGATATTTCAAAGAATTTTTTCCCCATATACTCAGTTATGGACAGAAAAATGTAAACACAGTTATAATACTTGACAAAGTTATAGCATTTTGTAATTGTAAAAACTATTGTCATCGCCACGACTTTTGATGAAGAGTAAAAATATTCTATTTTATTAAATATTTATAAATACAAAACGTAACCTTGAACCTAGTGACCCCAAATATGATCTTAAATTAATAGACTTTTTTGGGACTGTGTACATTGTACAAGTAATAACATTTGTAAAACAAGAAGACCAAGATGGCTCTTGACTGCTCACCTGACCCGTCTTTTCATTGGTCACTGTATAAATTGAGATATCTTGTCCTAGTATTCTTGAAAGGCTCAAGCCGTGCTAGGGAGCGGGGGGGGGGGCGTGAGTGATGCTGCACTTTTTCGTCATCCCTAATGTGCAGACTCAATCAAACTGAGTCTGCAATTTTCATAATTTCTGTACTAAACTATACTTTACAATAAATATTGTCCAGTGACTTTGGGGGTCATGATCATATATCTGCATGTCAAAAGAAAGACAATGTGCAGATGTGTCTAATGTTAAGATACAAAACCCATAGTGCAATAATTGATTCAAAAACTTGATTCAAATATTTAGTTTTGACAGAAAAATATGTTATAACTGTAAAACAAAGCTGTATTTAACTTTGAAATGCAGATACGGTTCATTTTACGTAAATACCATCGTTTCAATTAAGCATTACCAATTTCTATAAACACTATCAACATAATATACATAGTGTGAATCATTGGTGTCTGCGCCGAAGCGAGATGCCCTTTCAGATTTTGAATTCAGATTTTGTGAAAGGATAAAAGCAACTTTTCGGACATTCCAATTGGTGAAATCATTTTAAAAATGAAACGGTCATTCGTGCCACGCTATGGTTATTAATTACTAAGTGGAGAATTTTGCAGTTAATGAAATGCAAACATATTTAATAATATATAGAACTCTTTATGAATTTATTTAAAACTAGAAATGTGTCGTCACGCCACGAATGCCCCCGCATGCAGCCAAAATTTTAAATGTTATAATATTTAGTTCCAAATTTGTTTGCACAAATTATTTTTTTCATTTCAAGTACAAAGCCCTTAAAACTTTTCAATGTTAACCCAAACCAGTTTTAAACAAAGTTCAAGTCACTGAAACTATTCAGTGTTAACCTTTTGTAAATTGCATATTGCATATTTCTAGCCAAATTAATGCCTACATACATTTCCACAAAAGTATGAGTGCTGAAACTTAAAATTCAAATTTTTTCCAACATTCAAGGGAGATAACTTTGTCCAAAATCATTGAACCACGACCAAATTCAAACTCAAACAGCTTATTCCTAAGATGTGTTATGAATTCAGATTGTGTCAAATTTGAGTTGAATAACGGTGTACAACCATTGGGGAGATAATGTACTGAAACTTAAAATTTCTGATATTTTTTCAAAGTTTAAAAGGGATAACTCTGTCAGCTATCACCAAACCATGACCAAATTGGAAATTGACCAATGCATTCTTATGACATATCCATATCTTTAATTTGAGTTGAATATGTACAACTGTTGGGGATATATTGAATGGAAACTGAAAATTTCCTTTTTTTCAAAGTTAAAGGGGCATAACTCTGCCAAAAATCATCAAACCATGACAAAATTTGAACTCGACCTGCGTATTTCTTTGATGTAACCATATGTCAAATTTGAATGAATATGTAACGCTATTGAGGAGTAAATTAACAGAAACTGAAATTTTCATATCATTTTCAAAGTGAAAGGGGAATTACTCTGCAAAAAAAATCATTAAACCATGACCAAATTCGAACTTGGTCGGCGCATTTCTTTCACGTATCCATATGTAAAATTTGAGTTGAATATGTAATACTGTTGGGGAGATAATGAAAAGAAACTGAAAATTTCATATTATTTTCAAAGTAAAAGGAGCATAACTCTGCCAAAAATCATTGAACCATGACCAAATTTGATCTTGACCTGTGCATTCCATTGACGTATCCATATGTCAAATATGAATTGAATGTGTAATACCGTTTGGGAGATAATGAACAGAAACTGAAAATTTCATTCTTTTTTCAAAGTAAAAGGGGCATAACTCTGCAAAGAATCATCAAACCATGACCAAATTCGAACTTGACCTGTATTTTCTCATGACATATCCATATGTCAAGTTTGAGTTGAATGTGTAATATCGTTGGAGAGATAATGAACAGAAACTGAAAATTTCATACTATTTTCATAGTAAAAGGGGCATTACTCTGCCAAAAAATCATCAAACCATGACCAAATTCGATCTTGATCTGTATTTTCTCATGACATATCCATTTGCCAATTTTGAGTTGAATGTATGCAACCGTTACTAAGATAATGAACAGAAACTGATGATGACGGAATGACAGGATGACGGTAGGAGGGAACAGGGTAAAACTATAAGCCCCGGCCATTATATGGCGGGGGCATAAAAATATTTAAAGGAAAACGTAGGCCATTGTTTACGAATTGTAATATCGTATTATAATTCTGAAAGGTACTTTATGGTAAATTAATGTCTTCTTTCTTTTTAACAACCTTGATTGCACTTGACCGTGAATATTTTAATTGGCCTTAATTTCCAGAATTTTTTTTTGCTGTAAGAAGTTGATTCTATTTTGTTTCAAGGCAATGAATTGTATGGTGGTTTAAGTGGAATGTTGGTTTGCCAAATACTGTGACATTTAACAAAAGAAACTTTGGTTGAGGGTTTATTGAAAGGAATGTAAACTCACATAGGTGGGTCAGACGAGTTTTTTGAAGCAGTTCAACAAATAAGTAGACTGATCTCCAAATGAATCAATTAACAAAAGCTCTTTCATTATTAACAATGTCAAGTAGCTTTTTATATATTTGACTTGCATGAAGATGATGTTAGTGAATTTTCTTATACCTGTCTAAAATTCAGGTAACAGTTTTCCGTTGTATTGATAGATAATGCTTCACCATGTATCAACATGCCATTCAAATCTATTCATAACTTTTAAGTGTACTATTACTTTTGGAAACACATATAACAACAAAAATCCTGAATTTGGTCACTTTGAAATTCATTCAAAATTTTTCATTCCAATGTGTGTTCTACTTTTAGTTTATATATTGGACTTACACTATAATTACTGTATCTTAAGTCCCAGGTATTAATAGAAACCATTTTTTCATATTTTACATGAAAAAATGCATGCAATATTACAATATTTGTCCCTTTTTACTGTTTTCATTATGTTTGTATATTTGTTACATTTATAATAATAAAAAACACAGACTTCATTTTCACTACTGTTGTGTATGAACCAAAGAATATACATATAAAATTTTTATCTGTAGGAAGCCTGCAAAAGTTCAAGAAATACAATCTTGTGTCTGCCAATTTACTATGAAAAAGTATGATATATGATTCTGGTAAAATCCAATTAACCATTGAATAGTTTATAAGAGGATATCTGGTCATCAGATGTATACTAGTTTATCATCACTTGCTGCATTTCTTGCTTGGACACCCTTTGATGTTTTGCATCAATGCTTTTCTTGTTATTGTCTTACAATGTGATCAAATAGTTTCATTAATTATCCCTACAGCCCTCCCTTTCTCTTGCCAGAGTTCATGACCGGGGCGGGGTCAATTTTAATACTTAAGACAAAATTTAAACAACTATGGTATAGGACCTTTAAATGATATTATATACCAAATACCAAAGCAATAAGCCTTGTACCTTTAGGCAAAAAGAGTTTTTAAGTTTTTACCTTAACAACATAATGAAAATCAATGACCCCCCCCCCCCAGATGACTGGGCAAATTTTAAGCTCAATGCTTTAATTTGAACATTCTTGGTACAGGTGTACGAGACAATATCTTATGAAATATCTATGCTCTAACACTTGTGGGTCTTTACAAGGGGATTTTTTAAAATTTATTCTTATAATTCATTCTGATTGCCATGGTAACCAGATTTCTGCATGGAATTAAATTTGGAAGCCCTTTACCCAAGAAACAATCCTGCGAAGTTTGCTTAGCTTCGGATTTGTGGTTCTTCACACGAAGATGTTTTTTTTTAATTTACTGTATAACCTATATAACGCACACGCATGCACACACACATGCGCGCGCATTCACACACACACTTGTCAAAAAGCAAGAACGTATGTCAAATCATTTCATAAATATCAAAAGTAGGTAATCAGTAGCATCATTTATTATAAGAATTCAAAAGTAGGTCAGTTTATATCAAAATTGAATTCGGCATTAGAAATAATATTTCTGGTCCAATTTCTAGTCTGTAAAGGAAAAAGGTCAAATGGTTTCAAAAATATTAAAAACAGCTCAATTGATATCAAAATTCACATACGCAGACGCAACAAATATCAGGTTCAACAGTATGTCGCAAAATTGATTGAAATGTGCTCTCTCTATGTTTGAATCCAATTTAACAAAAAATGTAAAAATACGATAATTTTGAGCAAAGTTATAAAAAAACCGGTCTGACCTATTTTTTTAACCCAGGTGACCCATGTTCGAACTTGACCTAGAAAATATCAAAACAAACTTTCAGACCAAAACAGTAAGTCGCCACTAGAGTGTTAAAAATTATTTTTCTATTTATAGCATCTGTGACCTAGTTTTTCATCCGAGATGATCCATGTTCAAAGTTATCCGAGCAATTACCTAGACAAGCATCCTCACAAAGTTTGATGATAATTGAGGCAAAATGTGACCGCTAGAGTGTCAACAAGGTTTTTCTATTTTAAGCTTCTGTGACCTAGTTTTTCATTCGAGATGACCCATGTTCGAACTCATACGAGCTATATTTAGATGAGCATCCTGACAACGTTTGACAGACGACGGACAATCAACGATAATAAAAGCTCACCCTGAGCTAGCTCAGGTGAGCTAAAAATCCACATGCAAACATGCAGGTGCAAAACCACACATGCTGACTAATATTCTTGGACAGTGTCATGAGTCATGACTGTAGGTCAAATACTTTTTTGAGCTATGTGCATCATGACATGTATAGGCCCCTACTTAACTTATTTTTTAACTTGTTAACTGATAAAAGTATACTTATTTACATCTAACAGCTTCTGTTTGGCATTTTGTGCGTGAATGTCTGTAGCTAAATATCCAGCATCAGAAAGAAGTTGTTGAAATACTGTAAAGTATTGATGAAGGTCAGTATCCTCTACCTCTAAAGTTGGCGAATGTCTCAAATTTCTACTTAGGTCTCTTGCCTGGTAAAAGTAAAACATTTAAATCAAATCTACAATAATCTTTATGTATCTAAATTAAATTTACAAAATACAAATAACTTAATTGCTTAAATAATGCATTGTTTTATTTAATGATAAAACAAGTTTAGATTACTCAATTTTCTATATTGCATATATATTAAAATGTAGAGACATCCGTGGCCAAGATGTTAATAACATTGACTTCAAACCACTTGCCCCTCATCGCTTAAGAATTGAGTCCCGAGAAGAACTTAGGATACTTTCAGGTGATATATTTTCAGGGGCCCGTTCTAGTCTGAAGGGCAACTGAGGTAGGTCTTCCTTGACCAGTAAAGCTGTTAAGTGACCATATGACCTATACTGTGTTGGTGCAACTTAATTAATCAACATGCGAAACCCCAGGTGCACAACTTCACATGCGATCAACATTTCTTTAAAGTTTGTTGACCCTAGCTCAAGCATATTTAGAGCTTCATGTAACACAGCATGGGAAAGCATGTGCGTTCAAACGGAAGAACAAGGGAAAATCTAAATGCCACCCTATTCCATAGAGTAGGGGCATAAAATAGAAATTGTATAGAACTTAATATTATATACAAGTGATTTGATCGGCACATTTTCAAGTTTAATACATAGAGGCATTCATCTAACTATACTCCTTTTTTAAATATGTCTTAAAATAATGTTTACCTGCTCAAAAATGTTGTTCCTGTGGCTTAGGTTTTCGTGTACTTTCAGCTGAAAGTCTTTGTAATAAAGGATAACACTGATGATGCCGTTGAAGTCTGTTTCTTGTGCACAAGCTACATCTTTATATCGTTCTGGGGGCATAAAACATTTAGCTATCTCCCAGGAATTACTGCACCACTGTGTAGCATCCGTGTTTTTGTACGATGGACCATAGTACCTATGTGCATTCTGTATCTCAGTTGTGAAATTATGACATATCTTGTCAGGGCAGCCATCAGGTTTATACCTTGTTGCAGCATTTCGATGATAACTGCATCTTCCACGTCCAACATTGCATATTCTATTTGTTGGACATTTAATAACATTTTCTGTACAGCAATTTGAACACAGAGTTCCACTAAACAATCCATTGTTGTAGCAAATATCATCTAAGCATTTCAACTGGAATTCTTGAACTTCATGACATACAAAAGGTTCAAGTCCTTCTTTAGTAAACAACACTGCTAACTGAGCTTTAACCCAGTTATTGTATTTCTTGTCTGAAAGTTTTGGGCTAGATGAAGCCATTGCTTACTTTGTCTTACTGATGTAACATTACCACAGTGCTGAATGTCAATCTTAATCTGGATAACAACAAAAACTGTTCTTAACATGCGATTTATTCAATTTAAATACTAATTAAGCTATTAAATGATGTAAAACTATATCAAAAGAGATGTACACATTTAAGTCAGTATAAGTTAAACAAGAAAATAACCTGATAATTTGATTTTCAAGTCCCTTTATGAACTACATGTACTTGAAGGTCTAGTACAAAGGATTGTTGTGACATTTCTACAACAATATAGCTTTCAGACTTACAATTTATGCCCTAAGTCTTACAACTGGGCCTTGTCATGATGGGCCAGTATTCTAAGTTTTGTCCTTTTTGTGATTTTAAGAAAAAAGTCAAATTTTGGTGATAGAATTTATACTTTCGATGAGTTGCAGGACCGCTAAGGACTGCTAAGAGGCACAAAGGACTGCTAGGAAGGCAAGCACAAAGGACCTGAAAATACCTCCTTGGGCATTCTTATAGTATATTTCAGTATCTATAGTGATAAAAATGTATCATTTTACGGAAAAAAAATTGTGGATAGAATTGATGATTTTGATAAGTTGCAGGACCACAAGGACTGCCGAGAGGCACAAAGGACTGCAAGGGAGACACAAAGGACGTTAACTTACCTCCTAGGGCATTCTTATAACATATTTCAGAACGTTTAGTGATAAAAAATGTAATATTTTAAGAAAAAAATATAATTTTGGTGATAGAATTTATGATTTGCAGGGTCGCTAAGGACTACTGAGAGGCACTAAGGACTGTTAGGGAGGCATAAAGGACGTTAAAATACATCCTAGGGCATTCTTATAACATATTTTAGAATGTTTAGTAATGTCTTAAGAAAAAATATACTTTTGGTGATAGAATTTGTGATTTTGACAAGTTGCAAGACCGCTAAGGACTGCTGAGAGGCACAAAAACTGCTAAGAGGCACAAAGGACTACTAGGGAGGCACAAGGGACCTTAAGATACCTCCAAGGTCATTGTTATAGTATATTTCAGTATGTTCAGTGACAAATCATTTTATTATTATAATACATCGTATCGAGAAAAATTCATGAAAAATGATTAATATATAAAATAATTAAAAGTCATATCAGGTATCTTCTGTTCTTCACGGATCTGATTTATATATAAAAAAACGCAACAAATATAACTAATAACTAATAACTTTTTTATTTATAGACCAAATTTAACGATATTTTGCATGTAAAATCATTTTATAAATCGAGAAAAATTCATAGAAGAAAAACAAAATTTTATAAAATATAAGTCATCTTCGGTATCTCCTGTCCTCCACGGATATGACTTTTATAGAACGTAATTCGAATATAACTTATAACTTTTTTATTTATGGACCAAATTTAACGATATTTTGCATGTCAAATCATTTTATTATTATAAAAACATGGTATCAAGAAAAAAAATTACTTTGTAAAATATAAGTCATATGCGGTATTTAAAGTCATATCCGCGGATATGAGTCATATCCGGTATTAAGTCATGCCCCAAAAAATGTATTATTTTTTAAAGAAAATTAGTCACACAGGACTGATAAGAGGCACAAAAAACTGCTAGGGAGGCACAAAGGACCTTAAGATACCTCCTAGAGCAGTCCTTAGCAGTGTTTAGTAGGAACGAAAGAAAAGCCCTAAAAAATTATCTAATTCCGGGTTTCCACACAAATGCAAGGCCAAGGGCTATGAACATGTTAACAAATATGACAGCTGTCCGGTAACAATTACAGTACAGCTCGCGCGGAATGAACATTTTTACTTTTCCCACCGCGGAACTTGGGAGGAAAACCGCAGAGAAACACCCCAAAACTACGCAATTTTCGGAGGTGTAGCGAAGACAGAAATTCGCCGATAGCGGCGATATTTTACAAAAAAACGGTGTGTTTCAATCCTCCGCGATTCTCTGTGACTTTTCTTCCAATTGGTGCAAATAAAATTCATAAAAATGATCAAAATAAAAAAGAAATTGTTTCTTGTAAATATAAAACGAAAATTATTATTGTAGATCTACTTTCGATTTCAGCAAAGACATTATCCGTTACCTGGCCGGTATTCCGGTGGGGGTAAACCCGGCATCCGGGATCCGGAACACCCTGGATCGTATAAGATATATAGGGAACACAAATAAACTATATTTGTGTTGATTAATGTCGTAGTGAAAGGCGATTAAACGTTAACTTTTTATCTTTTATTGTATGTAATGAATGGGAAATTAATTTAACTTAAGATTTAACAATATTTAGAGTTATTTATTAACAAACTTAAAATGCGGAAATCACAATTATACTTGTAATTATATGCCTAATTGAAAAAAAATCAAAGATTTTGTTAATACAATACTAAACTAAATTTACTAAACTTAATACTAAATTTAATGTTCATGTTATTTTTAGAAAAAATCATAAGATATGCATAAACAATAAACCTTTTACACGTATGGCAGGTGGTCAATTCTCTGTACTGTTTAATAGATCCCGACTTTTCTGGAAGCAAGATGGTAAGGGATACGATCCCCTAAATGCGATGTCCGGGATCTTCTATATCTAAGTAGGAAAATCAACGTTTTTTGCGACCGTTAAGGTTGAGTATTTATAATTTTTTGTAAATACAAGTCCGACTTGCCATGCTTATTTTAAGTAAAAGAGGTCTAAAATACTATATAAAATGCTGATTTATCAGAAAATTAACAAATGTCTTGAACAATCACGTTGTTGTTTTTTAATGATACATATACCAGAAGGCTTTCAAGTTGCAAAAAAGAACACAAATGTAAAACATAAGGTATATACTGTAGTACAAGTAATCAAGTTCCATGGATCGTATAAAAATAACATGTTTCAAATATTAACAGATACAGATATGAATGTCTAAAATGAATATCTTATATAAGAAGAACAAATTATTTGTCAATGCAACTTATGGCGATTTAATCATAAAATGAAAAAAGAACTGTGGCGGACCTCATTTTCCTTATAAATATGCAGAATACAGGACCTCAAACGTATCGTCCCTGGTGTTAATAAACAGGTGTATTGTTGAAGGTGTCTAGTGATATTTCCGACTATGGCCAATATACCGAATGAGAATTTACTCGTCTAATACGATCCCGGCTTTTCTGAAAACTATATTCTTGAACTGGTCAATTCCCGGGATCCCTATATGTTTTAATACGATCCCGGCTTATCTGAGAAATATCTTCTTGGACTTGTAAATTCCCACGATCCCTATATGTTTTAATACGATCCCGGCTTATCTGAAAACTATCTTCTTGGGGTTGTCAATTCCCGGGATCCCTATATGTTTTAACACGATCCCGGCGTTTGTGGCGACGATTCCTATAATCTTTTCTTATAACATGGAAATAGTAATTCAGGTTACATAACTTGATGAACATTTAATTGTGCAAGATAATTCAATCATGGTAAATGTAAAAATTAAAAAAAAATCAACACCTTAATTAAATCACTCAACTAACGTGTAATTGCCGATGAGTTCATTACCACCAGAGAACGAAGGCGATGTGTTTTTGGAAAATTTACATAAAATGAGACGCTGTGTTGTGTAAGATTATTGTGAACAAAATACTGTGAACTGTAAAATATTGTGAACAAAAAGTTACTGCTAGACAAAAAGTATTTATTGTTGAATCGTAATGTACTATTCTTCCATCATGGCATGAATTGTTATTTAAGCTTATACCATTGTGTGATTTTATGTTAAACAATAATCCACGTACTGTAATATTTCTTGCATTTCTTTATTTATATAATTATCAGATAAAAATACATTTAAAGAATTATAACAACATCAGTTATTGTTTATTTTTCATTTGCCAAATATGAATTTGCATGTTTTCATCTTTTATGTACACCTGTCCGTCCGTTATGTAAACCTAAAATTTCACCCTTAAAACTTACGACGAATTAAATCTGTAAAAAAATCATTGTGGCAAATATACGGGAAAACGCCCCTGAGAGCATCCTAGAATAAAAAATTTCCCGTGGAGCAAGCCCCCGAGGGGCATTTTAAAAGTATTTATCAGAGTGGCGCTTTAGTCGTAGACGTAATATTTCTACGGAAATTGTAAGACCAACCCTTCAAAGTATTCCCCATTCGACTTGGATGCATTTTTCTAAGCGCCAAATCCAATCGGAAAATGCTTTTCTGTAGGCCTCTTTGGGTGTATTGTTTAGACACTGGAAAACGCTCTGCCGACGGCGTGCCGAGATTCAAAACGGCGACCTCTCATGTAGTTCTTGACGTAAGGATTCAACCAAAAATTGCATGGACCAAGAGCTCGGCTGTAAGCAGGGTGTTGTAAAGTCTCAATGCTATTGTCGCTAAGATAGGACTTTAGCACCACTGACTTGTGGGCAGGTGCGTTGTCATGCAGGAGTTTGATTCGCGTACGTACGCTGGTACGGGGACGGGCTGTAGTATAGTGACTAAAACAGCAGAAAAAACTGAATCTCGATAAAAGATTCCAGTTACACTCCTGCCTTCTGGTATAGAAATTCGAGCCACCATTCGCTGGCGCAATCAAGAAATAATGCATACATAATGTGTTTTGAGGGGCGAGCTCTACGGGCAATTTAGGGCCGTTCGTCATTTCACCGGCCCACACCTTATTTTTTTCTGTAACATCAGGCTCATAAAAATGCATGTTTCATCACCAGTCACAATTTCATTCATACGGTTTTGGTCAACATTTTTGTACCTATCGAGCAGCTGTGACGCAATTCGCAAGTGCTCCCGTTTTTGGTCATCAGTGAGAAGGTGGGGTATCCACCAGACGCAAACCTTGCGTAACTTTAACACGCGAGTCAATATTTGAAAAACCGATGACGAATTGATGCTACATAAATCACCTATCTCCTCCACTGTACAGCGGGCTTCATCTTCATCTATTTTGAACAGCAGCAATATTTTCGTCAGTCATTGTTGTGACTGGACGACCAGGACGGGCCTCATCTGTTGTAGTCTATCTACCGGAGGAAAAAAGTCGAACCCATCTTGTAACTGTGGAAAACGATAGGGCACTATCCCCATAAACATTGTTTAAGTCTGATTTAATAGCAGGTGCAGCAACACCAAGCAATGCAATACACTCTAAATTGTACTGTTTTCTGCCATTTCAACTGCAGTGTACCTGACCGTATAGTCGATTCAAGTGAACATTTCGCTCACTGCGTAGGTATTTCACGATTTCCTCATGCATATAATTGTAGAGGACGGTCTTACCTTTCCATACATGTATAATATGTACCAATTACGCTCAAATTAACGGTAAAAATTCACACTGATTAATACTTTATTAATGCCCCTTGTATTTTTGTTTAAATGGAGGAATGCAGCTTTAAAATGATTTAATATGTTGAAACGTGTTTATTTATCTGTCTGTATATGTGATTTTTTGTAACGAAAGCTATTTAGATATATTGCCTGAACATTTGAGACGATTTGTAATTAGATTAAGAACTTCTGCACACAACCGAAGAATACAAACTGGCAGATATGCTAGAAATAGAATACAATTACTGCCAATGTTGTTCTTTAAGAGGCTTAGAAGATGTATTTTAGTTTGAACTTATATGCCCATGTTATACAAATATTCGTAACCTTAACTTATCTTTATATTAAAAGATATTATTTTGTTAACTTAAGTATGTACAAATTTATTGCCTTGCTGCAAAGTAAATTATAGATATAAATGATGAACGACGATGTTGATGTTGATGATAGACACAGTTTGTCTAGTACGATCCCAGCTTTTCGTAATGTGATCCTGCTTTGATCTCTATGTATTTTATACAATCTCGGCTTTTATTCAAATGTGGTATGGCAGCCGGTCAATTCCCGGTATCTCTTTTTATTTAATACTATCCCGGCTTTTCTGAATATGACATGGCAGTGGTTGATTCCCGGGATCTCTATAAATCTAATACGATTCCGGCTTTTCTGAATGTGATATGTTAGATCAGAGATATTCTGTTTAAAATACACGTATCGTATTTAGTTCATAGGGAAAATTATCATATGTCCTATTGAAACGTTTGTTTTAATATTTTAAAGGTACAATTAACTTATATATTGATAGGGAAAATGATTTGAACATTGCAAGTCTGATTCTGTTTGACAAGTAGAAATTACTATAAAAAAATTATATCTAAGTAGGAAAATCAAAATCCAGAGATTTATATAAAAGGTCATATTTTTCCGTGACAAATCAAACAAAATGTATTTTTATATAATATATTCTACCAGATTCCTGCATGGAATGAAATTCTTTGAACAACTTTGGAGGCCCTTTACACAAGGATCAATCCTGCCAAGTTTGGTTGAAATTGGACTAGTGGTTTTTCACAAGAAGATTTTTAAGTTCACTATATAATCTATAGAACACACAC